CCATATGGAAAAGATATATATATATAAAGTTTGTATCTGTCTTGTGTGAAACTTGTATGAAAAGCATTATAAGAGTGAAAACAGATATAAGATCCCTTGAAAAATTATATAAATGAAACTTTTATGTTTTGGATACTTCCTAAAACAATATATGAAAGTAATGAGAAAGTGGCCACTTTCATGAGCCTTATGTGATTTACTATATGAAGTAGGCCACATCTTATGCAAGTCTTTTATAAGGTTTTTCTATTTCTTTTCCATATGGGTTAGGTTGCTCCTGATGAGAGTAATCTGCTACAGCTGGCTGCAGGTGATGAGCAGCAGGTGTGGCTGGAACACCACAGGAACAGGAACACTTCCGAGTCGCAATCCCCCTGGTCTGTGTGTGTGTGAGGATAATGGTACATTAAACGTACTATTATCCTCACAAAAACATGAAAAAGATCTGGATACTTCATTATGTATTTAATGACACATTAAGCACAGAGTGTGGTTAAAAATGAACCGAGTCTCCTGCCCTTAAAACCTAAAACGTTTCAGTCTGCAGTGTAAAGAGATTCATTTACTTATAACTGATTCCATTCCTAGTTTTTATTATAGAACTATTAAGTTATTTCTGATGTTCAGTCACATGCTTCTACCAAACTATCCTTTCACACCCAAACAAGCCACTTATTTCCTGTTTAATGCAAAAAGTTGTGTTTGTGTTTGTCAGAGGGGGCGGTGGTGAATGGGCCATGAGAGGAAGAGGGAGGGGTGGTTAGAACGGTAGGCGTGAAAAATTTTGGCCACAAAAACTGAAAATCAGCAAACAAAACTGCCGAGCAACAGACTGGAGACACAAACTGAAGACAAACAACGAAGACATAAAACTTCAAAACCAGTATAATGAAGTTACTGCTCCTACTCATCCTCTATCTGACCACAGGTAATACGATTACTAACAGTTGCTTACAGTGATAACAGACTTGAATATTAATTATTAAAGTTTTTTTTCAACACATTTTGTTCTAGTTTGTTTTAGTTCTAGTTTGACCTTTCTTAATCTGTTCGTATAAAAACTATGTGTAAAATTCTACGGTAATACAAAAATCATCTATGATTACACAAAGCTCGAGGCTCACAAACTCAAAAAAGGTTGTAAGCATAGCAGCTTATTTTCTTTCATTTTCAGGTTGTGAATCTGAAGTGAGAGCATGTCACCATCGATGGGCTGAAATCACCTGCAAATATCCTGAAACAAATAACAAATATCAGAACATTGATGTAGTTCTTTCCAATGGAACACCTGTACAAAGCTTTAAGAAGGACGTGTGGGAAGAAAATGGCAGATTTGTCCTCTACCATGATACAAAAAATAAAAATCTCAAGGTTGCAATAAAACATGTTGAAGAGCGAGAGTTTGGGAAGTACAGCTGCAGGTTTTTCCAAAGATCGAACTCACCTGACATACAGGAAGGAAAACTGGAGACTGGTAAGAAATGTGACATCTGTTCAAATAATAATAATAATTATTATTATTATATATTAATCAATTTCCATAGTCTGCAAGTCCTCATCAATTTAAAGTCTAGCTGCCTATGGAGCTAAATTTTAAATACTTTATTTCTCTGATTTGTTTACAGAGCATGCAAACTGCCCGCGAACATATCTCAGCGTGTACACAACAGCGAACAGCACCATCACATGTGGTTATCCAGATGTTTACGAGTCCCACATAAAGTTCTTCTGTAAAAAGAACCGTTTTACCTGTGAGGACATTTTATCAACGTCAAAAGGGACGTTTACTCTCACAGGCAGCAGCCGTGCCTTTAACATTTCCATCAGTCATGTGACCTCACAGGATGCTGGTGATTACTGGTGTGGAGTGGAATCAAATGATGGAAGTTACAGATTATCACACACACAAATACACCTGAAAGTTATAGGTGAGTATTCCACATGTTCAGTATCACAGGTTTAAATGATAAAAGCTGGCTGATAAGCTGAAGGCAAATATTTGTCTTTTTGTCTTCAGACATTCAACCTTTGACATCAACTATTGGACAGAACTCCACATACCAGTGTAAGTACAACCAGGATGCCTCCTCATGTATAAAATTCATCTGCAAAGGAGAAGATTCAACTGTATGCAAACAGCTAGTAACCAGCACAGAGCCTGACGTGAACCAGAGGTTTATAATGAAAGAGAACAGCGGGAGTATCACCATTACAGTGAGAGAAGTAACAGCAAACGATAGTGGGATATACTGGTGTGGAGCAAGAGTCCCTCACAAACACAATCAAACACATGACGACTTCTTTGATGGATTTCATTTGATTCTAGGTAAGTTGCTTGTACAATTTATCACTAATTCTTAACATGTTTCTGTTCTATTGAGTTTCATAGAAGTCTTACAAAACAATGTTAGCAATAATATTTAATTTATCTCTTGCATTAGGTAAACATCTTTTATGTCTCACTTGTGCAAGAGATGGTTTTAATTAGTATCTTAAAAATACAGAAAAGAAGTGACAAAGCTGGATTAAGATGTTCACACAGTTTATAAAAACATAAAGAAAAAGCTTTAACAGTGAGGACTGTGGTTTTTCTCAGAAACAGGTCCTCCTCTAACCACAGCAACCACCGCAGCTCCTCAGAGTTCTGGTGAGAGACTTTATTTAATTTATTTAATATCTTAAATCTGCTATGAAAGCAAGTGCTGAAGCTGGATTAAGACGTTCACGCTGTTTATGAAAACATAGAAATAAACTGATGATGTGAAAGTCTCAAAACTTTCAAAAGGTTGATCTTTCCTATGTTCTTCAGCACCGGCAGTTGAACAATAATGTCATGCTGAATAATTTTCTGGTCTAAATTTCTGTGATGTAGTGATGACCTTGATCCTACGTGTGGCTGGGTTGCAGCTGATGTTTGCAATCATTTTATTCCTTATCTATAAACGTGAGTACATTCATTTTCATTTCTCAAAAATAAGACAATATTGAGATTCTTCCATATTTTGCACAGATAACATCTAAAAATCCACAGCAGACAGAGCGACATTAGCAGAGTCCCCAAATTCTCCATCCTATAACTTATGAATACTTCTGAATACAAGTTATGATTATCTTTTCAAATTTCTTGTTAAATCAGATTAAATCAAAATAGAAAATGGTTCAGTGATAATGATCAGTGCAACTCTGGCAGTTCTTTTTCAGAAGCAGCCAGTGGAGGCCGCTGCATATCAGTTTAGTGAAATGTGTTTCTTTTCTCTTTTCACTTTGCAGGAGTCTCACGTTTAAAAAATGCTGAAAATGGAGCTGGAGCATCGTATGTCAAACAGGTGGGTGCGTGTGTCTGATATGAAGTATAGTTAATGCAGCAATGTTTTGATGCAACCATTAGTTAACTTTTTCATGTATTAGTCATTTTTTATACTGAGGAGAGAACAGCAACATAGGTACAAAAAACAATGATGTGGTGGATTTGGATGAGAGGGGAGAGTTATCATAGTAAGCTGAATCCATGAAAGGATGCACTATATGGATTTCAGTCACCCAAATGAAACCACAGACTTTCTAGTCTTTTAGTAAAACCATATAATTTGTCAGACAATCAACTAAAAACTCCCCAAAAGCACAAAAAAGAATCAAGAAATCCAGTTCATTACCTCTTAACTAGTAGAGAATATTCCAAACTAAACCTCCTCATCAGCCTATCCAGTATGATAGGTATGAGTATTCATCCATCACCTCTGTGGATTTGTCATCCTGAGAGAAACCACTCAATGAGGGTTTATTATGGTCATGTTGCTAAGCCTGACTGTTTAATGAGTATTGTTGAGAGTAGAGGCAGCAATGTTGTACCAAGTGATCTAAAATAACTATGTAGCGCTATTTCACATAAAAGATTGCACTCATAAATGCAGCAATTTATAAACAACCAATTAGTTAAAACAAAAGTAGTTTCCACACAATGAGGAAGTAACGTTGATTAAATTTTAGGGACATAATTTTATTATTGACTCTCCTCATCAGGCCAGCTATTAATCTCTAACTGCATGGACATTATTTAAGCTCGTATCCAAAAAACAGAAATAATGTTGACATATTGCTCAACATGTCTTGCAGCCTGTCTGAAGAGATTAAATTTGTAGCGTTCTGTAGAAAACCACTGCCTGTGTTTCCTCTGCTGAGAGGTTTGTGGCTATGTAATCCATCAGATAAAACTCCAGCGACATTTTACATCGAGATGTTCTGAGTCCTGCTTTCATTTTGCTTGTCTGAACTAGATTCAAAGTACTTGGTTAGTACTGTTGTCTCACCAGTGGAGATTCTAGAGTCTGTTGTAGCTCAAGCAAATATTAACATGGGGGAACCTCGATCCAGTGTTTATCACCAATATCTTTTAAATCCGACACCAACAACAAGCACAGACCAAATTCTAATTTTATTTGTCACATACACAGTACAACATGTAGTGAAATGCTTGTGTATGAGGCAGCAGACGTAGCCACGCCATTCCAGGGCTTGGTTTTAGCATTGGGGGGGGTCTAGCCAGGAGACCCTTACTGGATAACCAGTTGCTGGATAGTGTAGACCAGTAAAACAGCGGATAAAACATTGCTCTGGAACTGGCACAGACTACATTTGCTTTGTTTTAAGAACACTCAAGACCAAACTCTCTGGTTGGACACATTCGACTCAGTTATATCCAAGCAGCTGAGCTAATTTAACTAATGTAAATAAAAGAAATAATGCTGTGCTTTTAGAGGTTAAAGTATTTTGAGTCATGTCCTGTGTTTTTTCATGCAATTAGTGCATGTAGTAGGTGTTAAAGGTACCACGCTGCAGTGTTTTGAATCACATCTATCTCAAAGACTCCAATTTGTTCATGTAAATGGAGAGTCCTCTTCACACACTAGGGTCAATTATGAAGTTCCGCAGGGTTTTGTTCTGGTACCATTTCTGCTACATTATACATGTGTCTGTTAGGCAGTATCATTAGAGGGCATAGTATACATTTTCACTGTATACACACCAATTAGTAACTGCAGGCATGTCTTAAAGTCCGGGATGGCCTCTAATTTTCTGCTTCTAAATTCAGATAAAACTGACATTATTTTACTCAGCCCTGAAAATCTTAGAAATATGGTATCTAAGCAGATTCTTACTCTGGATGGCATTACCTTGGCCTCCAGTAACGCTGTGAAGAATTGTGCAGTTGGTCATGACCAATAAATGTCCTTCAACGCACATATTAAACAATATGTAAGACTGCTTTCTTCCATTTGTGCAACATCTCTACAGTTAGAAATATCCTGTCTCAGAGACGCTGAAAAACTAGTTCATGCATTTATTACTTCCAGGCTGGACTACTGCAATTCATTATTATCAGGATGTCCTAAAAAGGACATCAGCTAATCCAAAATGCTGCAGCAAGAGTCCTGACAGGGACTAGAAAGAGAGAGCAGATTTCCTCTTCATTGGCTTCCTGTCAAATTCAAAGTCAAGTCAAATTCAAAATCCTGCTCCTCACATACAAGGTCTAGAATAATCAGGCCCCATCTTATCTTAACGAAGTTATAGTACCATATCACCCCATTAGA